ACGTGCGCAGCCAGGGCGGGGGGCACGTTCAGCACCTGGGGGGATAACGCAGGGACGGGGGGGTCAGAGGGGCTGGGGAGGGTTTGGGGACCCCCATCCTGGGGGGCACAGGGGGGTCTGGGTGGTCCGGGGCACTCAGAGTGGTCCCGGTTCCCTCCTCACCGGGTGCCGGGCGTCAGTGATGAGCAGGATGATGTCGGACATTTCCAGCACCCTCCAGAGCTGGCGCCACGTCTGGGGGGGGGGCAGACCCACAAGTCTCTTAAAACCCCTCTCCACCTCTCCAGAGACCCCCAAGTCCCTTTAGCCCCCTCCCACCTCCCCAGAGACCCCCAAGTGCCTTTAGCCCCCTCCCACCTCCCCAGAGACCCCCAAGTGCCTTTAGCCCCCTCCTACCTCCCCATCTCCCCATTTCTTCAACTCCCCCTCCCAGACCCCCAAATCCCTTCAACCCCCTCCCACCTCCCTATCTCCCCCCATCTTCCTTACTCCCCTCCCCAGCCCTCCCCTCACCTCCAGGTTGTGCTCAAAGGGGGCCAGGCCGCCGCCCTCCTCGTCCCCATCGTTGTCCCCCCCCTCGTGTGCCGGGGGGGTTCCCCTCACGGAGGCTCCTCAGGAAGGCCCCAAACGCCGCCTCCTCCCGCGCCCGCAGCTCCTGGGGGCTCATGGCGAAGCTCCAGGGGGGTCTCCGGGGGAAATCCAGCCCTGGGGGAATCATTTACCCCTCCTGGGACCACTTCCACCCCTTCCAGGAGCAATTTACCCCTCCCTGGGGCAATTCATCCCATCCCAGACACCATTTGCCCCCTCCCTGGCACCACATCTCCTGCCCCAGGGTCCCTTCCCACCTCCCAGGGCACCTCTTACCGCCCTCCAAATGCCACCTTCCCCCCTCCTGTGTCCCATTTACCCCCCCTGGGGTATATTTGCCCCCCCCGGGGGGGCCTTTGCCCCCTCACCAGGCCCGTAGAGGGTGTCAGGGTCCAGCTCCAGGGCGCTCTCCGGGAGCAGCTCCAGGGGCTCCTCCTGTGCCCGACGCCGGCGCTGCGCCAGGGCCTGTGCCCGGGGCCCCCCCAGCTGGAGACGGAACCTGGGGGGGCACAGAGGGGGTCACACAATGCCCAGGACCCCCCACCCACTGCCAGGACCCCCCACCTACTGCCAGGACGCCCCCCCCCTCCTGGACCTCCCAGATGCATCTGGAGCCTGGGGGGCACCTCCAGCCCCCAGGACCGCCCCGGATCCGCCCCCAGAAGGTGGGTGGCACCTGCAGACCCCACCTCGGCTCCCCCCCGGGTACCTGCCGGGGTCGTGGCGCCGGGGAGGTCCCGGGGGGTCCCCGGGAGGGTCCCCGGAGGTCCCATCGCTGCTCCTCTCGCGGCTCCCGCTGCGGCTGCCGGGGCCCGAGTCCGGTCCCCCCGGGGCATCTGTGGGTGGGAGGGGGGTGATCAGGGGGGTCCCAGGAACCCCAGCCCGGGGGTCCCGGGCCCTCTCAGTGCCCCCCACACCGGGGGTCCTTCTGGTTTTACCTGCCCATTCCCAATATTTTCACCTCCCAATTCCCGATGTTTTCCCCACCCCTTCCTGCTATTTTCCTCCTCGTTCCTGGTATTTTTCCCCCCGCAATTCCGGATGTTTCCACCCCCTTTCCCACCTCCCCGTTTCCTCTCCCTCTCCCTCCCCATTCCCGGTATTTTCCCCCCCCCCGTTCCCGGTATTTCCCCCTCCCATTCCCGGTGTTTCCCCCGTTTCCCACCTCCCCGTTTCCTCTCCCGCCGGTCCCGCAGTTGCTGTTTTTTCCTCTTGGCGCTGAACGGGCGTTTGCGGGGCATGACTTGAGGGAGGCGGGGAGCGGTCACGTGACGGGGGCGTGGCCGCGACCCACCAATAGGAGCGGGCGGCGCGCGGGGAGGAGCCAATGGGAGGCGGAGCCGCCTCAGAGCCGCGGCATGACTGACGTGCAAAGCAACCAATAGCAGCGAGTCTCACCCGCTGACCAGTAGGAGAGCGTGTTACCTCAGGAGGGGGCGGGATAAGCCACAGAGAGAGCCAATGGGACAACGAGTCGCCACACGGAGCGGAGAACCAATGGGAGAGCGCGTCGCCACATGGGAGGGCGGGGCGAACGCAAAGAACCAATGGAAGCTATAATAAAGGAGAGATGGGCTGGGCTAAGTGCGCGGTGAACCAATGGGAAGGAGGCACGGCCCGGAAGCGGCGCGGCGCGGTGGCGGCGCATGCGCAGTGCCCGGTGCCCAGCCATGCCGAAGGGAGCGCGACCGGCGGGGCCCAAACAGGAGGAATGGAAGGGGGGGGGCGACGGTGAGACCCCAAAACGGACCCCAAAATCGGACCCCAAAACCAGGACCCCAAAACCGGACCCCAAAACCGGACCCCAAAACCAGACCCCAAAACCGGACCCCAAAACGGGACCCCAAAACCAGACCCCAAAATCGGACCCCAAAACCGGACCCCAAAATCGGACCCCAAAATCGGACCCCAAAATGGGACCCCAAAACCGGACCCCCAACACGGGACCCTCGCGGGAGGGATCGGGGGGGGGAGACCCCCGGGATGGGACCGCCGGGATGGAACCCCCCCCTGAACCCCCCCGTTCCGTGGGACCCTCAGGGTGGGACCCCCTGTGTGGGACCCCCAGGATGGCTCTGAGGGGCCAGCGGGACCCCCCGGAGCCTTTGGGGGTGAATTGATCCTTTTTTGGGGGGATCCCCCGTGTGGGGTCAGGGTTTGATCGTTTTAGGAGGGTGAATGTTTGGGGAGGGCCAATTCACCCTTTGTGGGGTCTTTTAATCCATTTGGGGGGGGAGATTCAACCATTTTGGGGGTCTTTCGATTCTTTTTTTGGAGGGTTGAAGTTTTTTTGGGAGAACTGAGCCCTTTTTGGGGGAAACCACCCCTTTTTTGGGGGGGGGGTAGAATTGACATTTTGGGGGCAAAATCAACCCTTTTGGGGTGAAATAACCCCACTTTTGGGGGGATTTCACCCTCTGAGGGGGGGGTCCCACAACCCCTCAGCCCGACATGGGGGGGTGGCCCCTCCCTGACCCCCCTTTTTTTTCCCCTCCCCCTCCCCAGACCAGCCCGTCAAGAAGGGCAAGAAGGACCGGCGGGGCAAGAAATCCGTGAGTGACCTTTGACCCCTGGGACCCTCCCCAAAATCCTGACCCCCCTCTGACCTCCCCTGACCCCCCCTGTGTCCCCCCAGTTCTTCGAGGAGTTGGCGGAGGAGGAGAAACCCCCCCCCAAAAACGAGGCCCCCCCGGCCCACGACAAGGAGGGGCCCCCCCAGGTGGGTTTGGAGGGGGGGGAGGGGTTAAAAAGGGGTGGGGGAGGGGCCAAATGGGGTGTGGCAGGAAGGGGAGGGGCTAAACAGGGTGTGGCTGAAGGGGAGGGGCTAAAAAGGGTGTGGCTGAAGGAGGAGGGGCTAAAAAGGGTGTGGTTAGAGGGGGAGGGGCTAAAAGGGTGGGGTTGAAAGGGAGAGGCTAAAAAGGGTGGGGCTGCAGGGGGAGGGGCTAAATGGGGAGTGGTAAGGTCTAAAGGGGAGGGGATTGGCTAATTAGAGCCTGCTGAAAGGCTAATTAACGCTCCCACCGCTAATTAGGGGTCCCGGCGGAAGCGGGAGCGCCGGAAGGAGCCGCGGCCACGCCCGGGGGCGGAGCCTGAGCCCGAGGAGGAGGAGCTGCAGCGGCGCCTCCAGGCCCTGGCGGCCGCTGACTCCGAGGAGGAGGAGGAGGAAGGTCAGGGAGGAGAACTGGGGGGTCCTGGGGGGTACCCGAGACCCCCAGGGCTGGGGGGGGACACAATCAGTGATCCCCCACCCCCCAAAACTTTCCCACAGTGGTGGCCCCCAGGAAAGGAGGGAGGAGGAGGAAGGTGAGTTTTGGGGGGGGGGGCTAGGTTAAAATTGGGGGAGGGGGCAAAGCTGTGGGGGAGGGGCTTAAAGTAGTGGGAGGGGATCCAAAATAGGGGAGGAGCCTAAAAGAAGGGGTCTAAAATATCGAGGAACTTCTAAATACAGGGAGGGACCACAAAATGGAAAGGGAGAGACCCCAAAATGGAGGGGGAAAACCCCAAAATGGGGGGAGAGACCCCAAAATAAGGGGAAGGCTGTTAAATATGGAGGAGAAACCTGAAAATATGGGGAAGGGGCCATAAAAGACCCCGAGATAGAGGCGAGGGACCCCAAATTATGGAGGATGGGGGTGTCCCAAAACTTGGGGAAAAGACCCCAAAACAAGAGGGGGGAACCCCAAAGGGAGGGAGAGCGACTCAAAGTGGGGCAATTAAAGACAAGACCCAAAATTTGGGGGGTTAAAACTGGGATCCTCGGGGGTTGGGGGGGTGTGGGGATGTGTTTGGGGTGTATTTTGGGGTCCCAGAGCCCCCCATTTCCCCTCTTTCATGCCAGGGTGGGAACGTGTTCGCGGCGCTGAGCCGGGAGCAGAGCGAGGAGGACGAGGAGGAGGAGCAGGACAAGAGGGGGAGCGAAGCCCCCCGGCCCCCCAAGGGCAAGAACAACAAGGTGGGGATCATTTGGGGTCCCTGGAGGTCCTGGGGAAAGGGGATGGAACCGTCCCAAACCCCCAAAAACCTGGGAATTGTCTGGGATTGCAGCAGGAGGAGGAGGAGGGGGAGAAGAAGAAGAGGAAGGGCCACAAGAGCGAGAAGCCCAAAGGGAAGCAGAAGGTGAGGAGGGGTCTCACAGATGTTTTGGGGGTCCCACCCACATTTTGGGGGTCTCTGAATTTGGAGGGGTCCTTATTTTGGGGGGTTTTTCCCCCTCTTCCCTCCAGGGCAAAGCTCCCAGCGAGGATGAGGCCGAAGGCTCCGAGGAGGAGGCGAAGCCCAAAGGGGGGAAGGTGAGGAGGGGGGAGGTTTTGGACCCCCCCGAGGAGGTTTTGGGTTTTTTTAGGGGGCTGAGACCCCCCCAATGTGGTTGTGCCCCCTAAAAGCAGAACAAGTTCCTGGCTCTGAGAGGGGATGAGGAGGAAGAGGAGGAGGACGAGGCCGAAGAGCCCCGGAAAGGGAGCGAGGGCGTGAGTGGAGACCCCCTGAGGGGCTCTGGGGGGGTCCTGGGGGATGAGGGGTGGGCTGGGGGTCCCTGATGGGTCTGGGTGGGGGTCCTTGAGGGGGTTTTGGGGTGCCCTCAGGGTTATGGGGGAATCTTTGAGGGGTCTGGGGGGTTCCCTAGGGATGTTTGGGGGGTCCCTTGGTGAGTCTGGGAGGGTCCCTGGTGGGTCTGGGGGTCCCTGGTGAGTTTGGGGGTCCCTGGGGTTATGGGGGGTCCCTGGTGGGTCTGGGGGGTCTCTGACATGTTCTGGGGTCCCCCCCGAGCAGGAGGATGAGGAGGGGTCTGGGCCGAAGGTGGGGCCCGACCCGCGGGTCAGCAAGAAGGAGAAGAAGAAGATGAAGAAGATGGTGAGGGGGCGGGGCCTGAGAGGGTGGGGCCTGAGGGGGGCAGGGCCTGTGCATGAGAGGTGGGGCCTAAGGAGGTGTGACAGGGGTGGGGCTTAAAGGGGTGTGGCTCTATGCTGAGGGCATGGCTTGGGGGTGGCTCGAGTGGGTGTGGCTTTTGCTGTGAGGGCGTGGCTTGGGGGTGGCTCGAGTGGGTGTGGCTTTTGCTGTGAGGGCGTGGCTTAGGGGTTTTTGGGTGTGGCTGGTGGGGGTGTGGTTTATCATGGGGTGTGGTTTGTCATGGGGGTGTGGTTTATTACAGGGGTGTGGTTTATCATGGGGTGTGGTTTATCATGGGGTGTGGTCTATCATGGGTGTGTGGTTTATCATGGGGTGTGGTCTATCATGGGGGTGTGGTTAACATGGGGTGTGGTTTATCATGGGGGGGTGGTTTACCATGGGGGTGTGGTCTATCATGGGGTGTGGTCTATCATGGGGTGTGGTTTATCAAGGAGGTGTGGTTTATCAAGGAGGTGTGGTTTATCATGGGGTGTGGTCTATTATGAGGGTGTGGTCTATCATGGGGGTGTGGTCTATCATGGGGGTGTGGTCTATCATGGGGGTGTGGTCTATTATGAGGTGTGGTCTATCATGGGGGTGTGGTCTATCATGGGGTGTGGTCTATCATGGGTGTGGTCTATTATGGGTGTGGTCTATCATGGGGGTGTGGTCTATTATGAGGGTGTGGTCTGTCATGGGGGTGTGGTTTATTATGGGGGTGTGGTTTATTATGGGGTGTGATCTGTCAGGGGGTGTGGCTGGTGGGGGTGTGGTCTATCATGAGGTGTGGTTTACCATAGGGGTGTGGTCTATCATGGGGGTGTGGTCTATCATGGAGTGTAGTCTGCCATGGGGTGTGGTCTATCATGGGGTGTGGTCTATCATGGGGTGTGGTCTATCATGGGGTGTGGTCTATCATGGGGTGTGGTTTATCATGGTGGGGTCTATCATGGGGGTGTGGTCTATCATGGGGGTGTGGTCTATCATGGGGTGTGGTCTATCATGGGGTGTGGTTTATCATGGGGTGGGGTCTATCATGGGGTGTGGTTTATCATGGGGGGTCTATTATGGGGGTGTGGTTTATCATGGGGGTGTGGTTTATCATGGGGGTGTGGTTTACCATAGGGGTGTGGTCTATCATGGGGGTGTGGTCTATCAGGGGGTGTGGTTTATCATGGGGGTGTGGTTTACCATAGGGGTGTGGTCTATCATGGGGGTGTGGCTTAGCACTGTGGGCGTGTCCCAGCCCTGTGGGCGTGTCCCCTGGCTGACCACGCCCCCGCCCTGCCCAGCTGGAGTATGAGAGGCAGGTGGCCACCATGAGAGCGGCCGCGGTGGCCGCCGACGGCGACTTCTCGGTGTCCCAGGCCGAGCTCTCGTCCCGCCAGGCCATGCTGGAGAACGCCTCCGACATCAAGGTGGGCGTCAGAGCCCCCCGGGAGCCCCAAAATCGGCTTCAGGAGACCCCAAAACCCCCAGGGAGCCCCAAAATCGGCTTTGGGACACCCAAAAACCCTCGGGGAGCCCCAAAATCGGCTTTGGGACACCCAAAAACCCTCGGGGAGCCTCAAAATTGGGTTGGGGGGGGGACACAAAGACCCTCTTGGGAACCTCAAAATCAGCTTCAGGAGACCCATCTCTGGTCCTTGTGGGATTTGAGGGGTCCCTGGGTGGCGTTGGCTTCCCAGTGGGGTTTGGGGTGGTTTTTGGGGGGTCCCTGAGCCCCTCTTTGCCCCCCCCCCAGCTGGAGAAGTTCAGGTGGTCCCCAGAGGAGTTGGACGCCCGTGGGTGGGTTTGGGGGGTCCCTGTTTGAGTTCAGGGGGTCCCTGTTTGAGTTCAGGGGGTCCCTGGTTGAGCTCAGGGGGTCCCTGGTTGGTGGTGGCTGTCTGTGGTATTTGGGGTGGTTTTGGGGGGTCCCTGAGCCCCTCTTTGCCCCCCCCCAGCTGGAGAAGTTCAGGGGGTCCCCAGAGGAGTTGGACGCCTGTGGATGGCTTTGGGGGGTCCTGGTTGAGCTCAGGGGGTCCCTGGTTGAACTCAGGGGGTCCCTGGTTGGCGGTGGCTGTCTGTGGTATTTGGGGTGGGTTTTGGGGGGTCCCTGAGCCCCTCTTTGCCCCCCCCCAGCTGGAGAAGTTCAGCATCTCAGCGCACGGGAAGGAGCTGTTCGTCAATGCTGACCTGTACATCGTGGCCGGCCGGCGCTACGGCCTCGTGGGGCCCAACGGGTGGGTGAGACCCTCAAATCTGGGGGGCTGGGGGTCCTTGGGGGTCCCTGGGAGTCTCAACCCCCCCGGTTTGGGGCTGATCCTCCCGGTTTTGGGGTGCTTTTCTTGGAGGCAGCAAAGGGAAGACGACGCTGCTGAAGCACATCGCGAACAGGGCACTGAGCATCCCCCCCAACATCGACGTGCTGCTCTGCGAGCAAGGTGGGCGCTCCTGGGGGGGCCTGCAGGGGACTGGGGACACCTGGGGGCTGGGGGCACCTGGGAGGGGCTTGGGGGCACCTAGGGGGCACCAGGAGTGCCGGAAAGGCTCTGGGGGCACCTGAGGGGGGTCCTGATTGTCCCTCCCGACATTGACGTGCTGCTCCGCGAGCGAGGTGGGCGCTCCTGGGGGCACCTGGGGGTCAGCTGTGCCCCACCTGAGCTCACCTGTGCCCGCCCTGTGCCCGCCCCGTCCCCCAGAGGTGGTGGCCGACGACACCCCCGCCGTGCAGGCCGTGCTGCGGGCGGACACGAAGCGGCTGCGGCTACTGGAGGAGGAGAAGCAGCTCCAGGCGCTGCTGGAACGCGGAGACGACGCGGCCGCTGAGAGGCTCGAGAAGGTACCAGGGAGGCTCCTGGGGCAGCTGGGACACCTGGGACACAGCTGGGACACACCTGGGACAGCTGGGACACACTTGGGACACACCTGGACACAGCTGGGTCACACCTGGGACAGCTGGGGACATTTGAGACACACCTGGGACACCTAGGGACACCCAAAGTCTCACCTGCACACCCCTGGAGCTCTGTGCCATCAGCGCGGTCACGGCAGAGCCCGAGGCCCCAGATCACCCCCAAATCACCCCCAGATCACCCCCAGATGGTTCCCAAAGGTCACCAGGTGTCCCCTGTGCCCCCCAGGTGTACGAGGAGCTCCGAGCCATCGGCGCAGCCGCGGCAGAGCCCAAGGCCCGCCGGATCCTGGCCGGGCTGGGCTTCAACCCCGAGATGCAGAACCGGGCCACCAGGAAGTTCTCAGGGGGGTGGAGGATGAGGGTGAGCCTGGCCAGGTGAGTCACCCCCTCCACGAGGGTCCTGGGACCCCCCAGGTGAGGGAGGGACCCCCCAGGTGACTCAGGTGACCCCCCCAGGGCCCTGTTCATGGAGCCCACGCTGCTGATGTTGGACGAGCCCACCAACCACCTGGACCTGAACGCCGTCATCTGGCTCAACAAGTGGGGACAGGGGGACAGGAGGGGACACTGGGGATGGGGGGCACTGGGGACAGGGGGCAGGGGGCACAGGGGGACAGGAGGGGACAAGGGGACGGGGGCACTGGGGACGAGGGGGGACAGGAGGGGGCACAGGGGATGGGGGGCACTGGGGACAGGGGCAGGGGGCACAGGGGGATGGGGGCACAAGGACAAAGGGGTGGCACACAGGGACACAAGGGGTGGGGGCACACTGAGAGTGAGGGGGGACAGGAGGGGGACAGGAGGGATGGGGGGGACAGGGCACAAGGAAGGGCAAAGGGGGTAGGGGGGACATGGGGGGACAAAGAGGGACATGGTGGGAGCTGGGGGGCAGGGACAAGGGGGGATATGGGGGATAAAGGGGGGACAAAGAGAAGGGATATGGGGGGGCAAGGGGGGCACACGGGGGTACAGATGTGGAGGAGGGCACATGGGGTGGTCCCTGATCTCCCCCCCTCCCTGTTCCCAGTTACCTCCAGTCCTGGAAGAAGACCCTGCTGGTGGTTTCCCACGACCAGGGGTTCCTGGACGACGTCTGCACCGACATCATCCACCTGGACTCCCAACGGCTGCACTACTACCGGGGCAACTACAGTGAGTGATTCTCCCTGATCCCCCCTGATCCCTGAGCCCCCCCAATTCCCCCGATCCCCTGGATCCCCCTGGACCCCCCTGATCTGGGTGGATCCCCCTGCAGTGACCTTCAAGAAGATGTACCAGCAGAAGCAGAAGGAGCTGCTCAAGCAGTTTGAGAAGCAGGAGAAGAAGCTCCGGGACCTCAAGGCCGGCGGGAAATCCACCAAGCAGGCCGTGAGTGGGACCCACTGGGACCCACTGGGATCCACTGGCGTGTTGGGGGGGTGGCCCCTGCCTGGGTCGTGCTCTGAGAGCCCGAAAATCCCAGTGGGGGGGGATCCCAGTTCTTGGTGGGATCTGAGCAGGGATCCACTGTGGGGATCTGGGAGGGGTTTGGGATGGAGAAGGAGGATTTTAGGGGTGTTATCCCATGGGATTGTCGGGATTGGATCCCATTTCCCAGCCCAGCTCCTCTGGGGGATCCAGTGTTGGGTGTGGAGGGGATCCAGCAGATCCCTGGGTGGATCCACTTCAGGGATCCAGAGGGATCTGGGGGCCAGGTTGGATCCCAAGGTGTTCCTGGGGGCCATGTTTCGTGTGGGGGGGTTCCAGTGGATTCCAGGGTGGATCCCAGTGGATCCCACGGTGGATCCCAGTGGATCCCTGCCCTCTCCCCCCAGGAGAAGCAGACGAAGGAGGCCCTGACGCGGAAGCAGCAGAAGTGTCGCCGCAAGGCCCCGGACGAGGAGGCGGCCGAGGCGCCCGAGCTGCTCAAACGGCCCCGCGAGTACACCGTGCGCTTCACCTTCCCCAACCCGGCCCCCTGAGCCCCCCCATCCTCGGCCTGCACGGTATGGAGGGCTCTGGGGGGGATTTGGGGTGTTTTATCAGGGATTTGGGGTGTTACAGGGGGGGTTTGGAGTGTTACAGAGGGTATTTGGGGAGTACACCGTGCGCTTCACCTTCCCCAACCACCGCCCCTGAGCCCCAATCCTCGGCCTGCATGGTATGAGAGGTGCAGGGGGCTCTGGGGTGTTTTATCAGGGATTTGGGGGGTGTTACAGGGGAGTTTGGGGAGTACACCGTGCGCTCACCTTCCCCAACCCGCCCCCTGAGCCCCCATCCTCGGCCTGCACGGTATGGGAGTGCAGAGGCTCTAGAGAGGATTTGGGGTGTTTATCAGGGATTTGGGGGCTTTGAGGGTGTTACAGGGGGGTTTGGGGTGGGTGGGAGGCAGTAAAACGCTGTTAAGGGGGCATTTTGTGGGGCTGGGGGTGGATTCGGGGATCTCAGGGGTGATTTAGGGGGGCTCAGGGAGGGATTCTGGGGGGGCTCAGTGGGGATTTCAGGAGTCTGAGGGTGTGTTTTGGGAGCTGGGGAGGGTTTTGGGGGTCTCAGGGACAGCTCAGGAGGGGTCTCAGGGCTGATTCTGGGGGTCCCTCCCCCCTCTCCTCCCTCCATTCCCAGGGGTGGATTTCGGGTACGAGGGGCAGGAGCTGCTTTTCCGAAACCTGGACTTTGGGATCGACATGGAATCCCGAGGTGAGACCCTGCCCAAACCCCCCACAACAGCACTGGGGGGGGGTCCTGGAGACCCTACAATAACACAGGGTCCCCGGGACCACCCCCCCAACGTTTTATCTGCCCCCTCCCCAGTTTGCATCGTGGGCCCCAACGGGGTCGGGAAGAGCACTTTGCTGCAGCTGCTCACGGGGGCCCTGACGCCGGTAGGAACCCCGAAATTTGGGGGGGGGACACTTCAAAATAAGGGGGGGGACACCCCAAAACATAGGGGACACCCCGAGGAAGCAGTGGTTGTAGGATGGGTTGTGGAGGGATTTGCCCCCCTAAAAAAAACCCCAAATTTCTCTTTCAGATCCGGGGGCAGATGCGCAGGAACCACCGCCTGGTAAGGGGGGCGTGGCCTCACCGGGTGTGGTCACTGGGTGGGTGTGGCCGGTTTGGGTGTGGTCCCAAAGGGGTGGAGCTTCTGCAGAGCAGGGTGTGGCCTGAAAGGGCGTGGTCTCAGAGAGGACAAGAAGGGGTGGAGCCTACAGGGGTGTGTCCCAGTGGGTGTGTCTCACCTGGGCGTGTCTCAGGTGTGTCCCAGGTGTGTCCCTGACCCCTCCCTGTCCCCCCCTGCAGAAGGTGGGGTTCTTTAACCAGCAGGCTCAGGTGTGGGTGTGTCCCAGGTGTGTCCCAGGTGTGTCCCTGACCCCCCTCGCAGAAGGTGGGGTTCTTTAACCAGCAGGCTCAGGTGTGGGTGTGTCCCAGGTGTGTCCCAGGCGTGTCCCTGACCCCTACCTGTCCCCCCCTGCAGAAGGTGGGGTTCTTTAACCAACAGGCTCAGGTGTGGGTGTGTCCCAGGTGTGTCCCTGACCCCTCCCTTTCCCCCCTTGCAGAAGGTGGGGTTCTTTAACCAGCAGGCGGCCGAGCAGCTGCGCCTGGAGGAGACGGCGGCCGAGTTCCTGCAGAGGAGCTTCAACCTCCCCCACCAGGACGCCCGGAAGTGCCTCGGGCGCTTCGGCCTCGAGGGCCACGCCCACACCCTGCAGATCGCCAAGCTCTCAGGTGGGCAGGGCTGCCAGGAAGGGGGCAGGGCTATGGGCAGGGCCACACCACACCCTGCAGATCGCCAAGCTCTCGGGTGGGCGGGGCTGCCAGGAAGGGGGCGGGGCTATGGGCAGGGCCACACCCACACCCTGCAGATCGCCAAGCTCTCGGGTGGGCGGGGCCATCAGGGAGGGGGCGGGGCTATGGGCAGGGCCACGCCCACACCCTGCAGATCGCCAAGCTCTCGGGTGGGCGGGGCCGCCAGGAAGGGGGCAGGGCTATGGGCAGGGCCACGCCCACCCCTGCAGATCGCCAAGCTCTCGGGTGGGCGGGGCTGCCAGGAAGGGGGTGGGGCCTGAGGGAAAGGGGGAGGGGTTTGAGGAAAGGGGAGGGGTTACAGTGACAGAGGGTGTGGCTTGAGAGAAATGGGTGTGGCTTTAGTAAAAGGGGGTGTGGTTTGATAAGGAATTGGGTTAAAGGGGTGGGGTTAGAGGAGAATGGGGGTGGAGCCACACCGAGGGTGGGTGTGGCTCCCCAACCTAAGCCCCTCCTCCCCCCCAGGCGGGCAGAAGGCCCGGGTGGTCTTTGCAGAGCTGGCCTGTCGGGAGCCCGACGTGCTGATCCTGGTGAGTGGGGGCATGGCTGATGGGGCTGTGGGCGTGGCTGATGGGGCTGGGGGCGTGGCCAAGGCTCCCCTGGACCACCTGCATCCCAAATTTTTCACCCCCCTCTCCCCAGGACGAGCCCACCAACAACCTGGACATCGAGTCCATCGACGCCTTGGCCGACGCCATCAACGACTACAAGGGGGGTGAGTCTGGGGGGTGGGGGGGGGACACACACAGAGATTTTGGGGGCATTGTGACATCCCAATGATGCCGTGATGATGTCACGACGATGACATCACAGTGGTCTGGGGGGGTTGGACACAGAGATTTTTAGGCGGGCATTATGATGTCACGATGATGTCATGATGATGTCATGGCGATGACATCACAGTGGTCTGGGGGGACAGATTTTGGGACCGTTGTGATTTCACGATGATGTCATGATGATGTCACAGCGATGACATCACATTGGTCTGGGGGGGATGGACACAGATTTTGGGAGCGTTGTGACGTCATGATGATGTCACAGCGATGACATCACAGTGGTCTGGGGGGACAGACAGATTTTGGGAATGTTGTGACATCACACTGATGTCACGGCGATGACATCACAATGGTCTTGGGGGGACAGACAGAGATTTTGGGGGACATTATGACAACACGATGATGCCACGATGATGTCACAGCAATGACGTCACGATGGTCTTGGGGGGACAGACACAGATTTGTGGGGGGCATTATGACATCACGGTGACATCACCGTGACGACATCACGGCGACAGCGATGTCACCACCAAGCGCCTGCTGTGGGCGGGGCCACAGGGAGGACGGGGGGCGTGGCTTGTCAGGCTATGACATCACCGTGACGTCACCGTGACATCACAGCGGTGATCGTGGTGAGCCACGACGCCCGGCTGATCACCGAGACCAACTGCCAGCTGTGGGTGGTGGAGGAGCAGGGACTGAGCCAGATCGACGGCGACTTCGACGATTACAAGAGGGAAGTGCTGGAGGCGCTGGGCGAGGTCGTTGTGCACCGGCCCCGCGAGTGAGGGGCTCACAGGGGGTCCTGCAGGGCCCTTTAGATCCCAGGGAAAGTCCTGCCGGACCTTCCCTGGGATCTAAGGGGTCCTGCAGGACTTGACTTGGGAATAAAAAGGGCGCTGGAGCAACGCTCGGGATGTGGTGACGTGTTTTGGGGTCAGCGGGAACATCCCCGGCACGGCCCTTTCAAGTCCCGGAATTTGGGGGGTTCCTGAATTCCCCACTCCCCTTTTCCCTCCCTCTTCTTGTTGCCCCAAAATTTCCCTTGGGAGAAGCAAAAGTTCCCTTTGGAGATCCCCTTGATGCCCCAAAATTCCCACCCTAGGGAGATCCCAAAATTTCCCACAGGAGATGCAAAAGTTCCCTCGGGAGATGCAGAAATTCCCTCAGAGGATCCAAAATTTCCCTCGGGAGATGCAAAAGTTCCCTTGGGAGATCCCCTCAGTACCCCAAAATTCCCACCCTAGGGAGATGTAAAAGTGCTCTTGGGAGATCCCAAATTTCCCTCCCTCCTCTCATTGCCCCAAATTCCCACTCTTGGGAGATCCCAAAAGTTCCCTTGGGAGATCCCAAAAGTTCCCTTGGGAGATCCCAAATTTCCCTCAGTAAATCCCCCCCAATCCCTGCTCTTGGTAGATCCCCAAAATTCCCTAAAATCCCCAAAATTCCAAGATCCCCCCAGTGGGTCCCCCCATTCCCAAAGTTCCCCCCCCCAAATCACCACAAACAAACACACCCCAAAATCCCCCGTTCTGGGGTCATTTTTTGGTTTGTTTTGTATTTTTTTGTTTTGTTTTTTTTTTTTCCAACAAGTTTATTATTAATGTACAAAATATACAAAAGGGGGAGGGGCTTTTTCCGGGGGGGCCCCTCCCCCAGGCCAAGTTTTCACAGAAAACAGCGTCCGGCGCAGACCCCTCCCCAAACCCCCAACATTTACACCCTCCCCAAAAACCCCTTGGCGGCGGCGGCGTGGTGGGGAGGGGCGGCGGCAAAGGGGGTTGGGGGAGATTTGGGGTCTGGGGGGGTGGGGGGGAGATGCCCCCTGAGAGGGGCAGCAGCTTTTTGACCCTTGAGGGGTGAATTTTGGGGGAAATTTGAATTTCAGGGGGGGACATTTGAATTTCCGAGGGGTGAATTTAAATTTGGGGGGGTAATTATTTAATTAATGACCACAGGGGGGGTAATTAACCCGTGGGAGGGGGGGTGTTGTCACCCTTTGGGAGGTCCAGCCCCCCACAAAAGGGGGTAATTGCCCCCCCCCTTGGGGTATTTGTGCCCCATAAATTGCCCATTCAACCCCCAAAATGGCCATTTCTGCCCCCAAAATTTCCACTCCTGGGGGGGGAGGAGGCATTTTTGCTCCTCTGGGAGTGTTTACACCCCAAAAATGATGATTTGTGCCCCCCAAGTGAATATTTGTGCCCCAAAAGTTAAGAATTTACACCCTGGGGGGGTTATTCCACCACATAAATACCAATTTCTGCCTCCCCAAATGACCATTTCTACCCCAAGGGGGGCTTTTCCACCCCAAAATTACCAATTTCTGCCCCCTGAGAGGATGTTCCTGCCCCTCAGGGGGGAATTTCTGCCCTGGGGGGGTATAAATAGGAGTTCCTGCCCCTGAGGGGGGCATTTCCACCTCATAAATAACAATTTTTGCCCCCAAATTACAATTCCTGCCCCTTGGGGGGTAAATTCCACCCCATAAATAACAAATTCCTGGCCCCAGGAAGATTTTTCTGCCCCATAAATAATAAATTTGTGTCCCCCCCAAACGCCAATTCCTGCCCCAAGGGAATAAATAACAACTCCTGTCCCTCAGGGGGAGTAATTTGCACCCCATAAATAACAATTCCTGCCCCTTTTGGGGGGGGGGGAGGGGGGGAATTTCCACCCCATAAATACCAATTCCTTTCCCCAAATTTACAATTCCTGCCCCCTTTTGGGGGGATAATTTGCACCCCATAAATACCAATTCCTGCCCCCATAAATTACCAATTTGTGCCCCTTTTTTTTTTTGAAGGGGGGGGGTAATTTCCATCCCATAAATACCAATTCCTACCCCCAAATTTACAATTCCTGCCCCCTTTTGGGGGGATAATTTCCACCCCATAAATACCAATTCCTGCCCCTTTTGGGGTGGGGGAATTTCCACCCCATAAATACCAATTCCTGCCCCTTTTGGGTGGGAAATTTACATCCATAAATACCAATTTATGCCCCTTTTGGAGGGGTGGGGGAAGAGGAGAGGAATTTCCATCCCATAAATACCAATTCCTACCCCCAAAATTACAATTCCTGCCCCCTTTTGGGGGGATAATTTCCACCCCATAAATACCAATTTGTGCCCCTTTTGGGGTGGGGTGGTGGTGGTGGAATTTCCACCCCATAAATACCAATTCCTTCCCCCATAAATTACCAATTTATGCCCCTTTTGGAGGGTGGGGGAATTTCCACCCCACAAATACCAATTCCTACCCCCAAAATGACAATTCCTGCCCCTTTGGGGGGGCCATTTCCCCTCCCCCCCCCCAGGGGATGAAGGGGAGCTGAGGAGGGGGAGGCTCAGGGGAGGGTCGGGGTCAGCGCCGGGGGCTCCGCAGAGGCCTCACAGAAGCCATAAAAAGGCGGCTGAGGGGGTGGGGAGGGGCGGCTGTGGGGAGGGGTTTTTGGGGGGTGGGGGAGGGTCGGCTACGGCAGGGGGCCGTTGACGCCGGGGTGGTAGAAGGCACAGTTGTTCTCGTACCTGCAGCTGCCCTTGAGCATGAAGTGGCGACAGACGGCGCGGCTCGACATGTCTGGGGGAGACAAAGGGGGCGCGTCAGGCGCCGGCCCCGGCCCCAAAATGGCCCCAAAACGGCCCCACGGCGAAGGCTCCGCGGGGAGAGGGGGGAGGAGGAGGAGAAAGAGGGAAGGGAGGGAGGGAAAAGGGGGTTTGGGGGGGTGAGGGACCCCCGTGGGGGGTGAGAGATGGGGGGGTTGATCCTCGGTCTGAGGGGGGATCTGTGGGGCTGAGCCCCAAAAATCCTCATCCCAGTGGTGGGAGAGGATGGATCCACCCCAAAATAACTGATCCTAATGATGGGAGTGGGTGGATTCACCCCAAAATAACTGATCCTAATGGTGGGAGTGGATGGATTCACCCCAAAATAACTGATCCTAATGATGGGACTGGATGAATTCACCCCAAAATAACTGATCCTAACCCTGGGAGTGGATGGATTCACCCCAAAATAACTGATCCTAATGATGGGACTGGATGGATCCACCCCAAAATAACTGATCCTAACCCTGGGAGGGATGGATCCACCCCAAAATAAATGATCCAAACCCTGGGAATGGAGGGATCCACCCCAAAATAACTGATCCCAATGATGGGAGTGGAAGGGTCCATCCCAAAATAACTGATCCTAACCCTGGGAGTGGGTGGATCCACCCCAAAATAACTGATCCTAACCCTGGGAGTGGATGGATCCACCCCAAAATAACTGATCCTAATGATGAGAGTGGATGGATCCACCCAAAAATAATTGATCCTAATAATGGGAGTGGATGGATCTGCCCAAAAATAGCTGATCCTAATGATGGGAATGGATGGATTCACACCAAAATAACTGATCCTAATGGTGGGAGTGGATGGGTCCACCCCAAAATAACTGATCCAAACCCTAGGAATGGATGGATGGATCCACAGGACTGAGCCCCCCAAATCCTGATCCTAATGTTGAGACTGACTGGCTGGATCCCCAAAGATCCTGACCCTGACCCTGTTGGGGCTGGCTGGATCCATGGGGCTGAACCCCAAAATAACTGATCCCAACCCTGGGGGAGCTGGATGGATCCACGAGGCTGAACCCCACGGATCCTGATCCTAATGTGGGATTGGAGGGATGGATGGATCCACAGGAGCTAAACCCCAAAGATCCCTGTCCTAACTCTGGGGATGCTGGGATGGATCCCACAGGCCCCTGATCCCTGTTTTAACTCTGGGAACGGATGGATCCAGAGCTCTGAGCCCCACAGATCCCTGTCCTGACCCTGGGAATGGAGGGACGGATCCACAGGGCTGAACCCCAAAGATCCCAGTCCTAATGCTGGGTGGGGAGGGTATGGATGGATCCGTGGGGTTGAGCCCCACAGGATCCCCGTCCTAACCCAGGGAGCGGATGGACGGATGGATAAATGGATAAATCCCTGGGGCTGAGCACCCTGGGGGGAAAAAGCTCCCCCCTAAAACTGCTCCTGACTCCCAACATGCCTTGCTGGGCCCCCCCCAGAATTCCTTATGGCTGCCCCAAGGCCGGGTGCCTGACCCAGAACTGGTTTTAGGCCCTCATGGCAGCTGAACTCCAGTTCCCAGCGCTCCTTCCAGCTGAGCCAAAGCGGGATTTGGGCTCCTGGCACACCCCAGGGCTGAACTGCAGCGCCCAGCAGGCCTCAGTACCAGGCCTAGGGTTGGGGTCAAGCCCCAGCTGGCCCTGCAGCCTTTTGGGTCTCACTGGGCCTCGAGGCCTCCCCTTCGGAGCTGCTCTTGACCCCCAGCACTGTCCCCGTGGGGGCTGAACTGGAGCTGGGAGTGGACTCAGAACCAGATTTATCCCCTGCCCTGTCCCCTCAGGAGCCAAACTACAGCTCCCGGCACGCCCTGCGGCCCAGCCACCAGCTGAACTGCAACTCCCAGCATGCACCACCAGCTGAACTACAGCTCCCAGCATGCCTTGCTGCTACCCCATTGTCAGAACTACAACTCCCAGCATGCCCCACTGGGGGGGGTTTTCTTCCCCCTCAGCGATTTTGGGGGAATGACGGAGGGAGGGGGGGTCTTTTGGCTCCCTCAGGTTTTACAGGGGGGTCTCTCATCCCCATCCAGCCCTGCAGTGGTTTTTGGAGGGGGTCTCCTCAGTCATTTTGGGGGGGATCCCTCAACCCCATCACAGTTGTTGGGGGGGGGGCTCTCTCTTCCTTCTTGCGTGGGAGGGGGCTGGTCTTTCACCCCCACCTCAGTTATGGGGGGGTCACTTCCTCCATTTTTTGGGGGTCTCTCAGCCGTTTTCGGGGACAGGGGTGTCCCTCAGTCCCCTCCTTCCCTGCAGCCACTTTG